TACTATGGGAAAAAACCCAATTACATTCTCTTAATGGAATTATCAGATGGAAAGGTCCAAATGGTTTTGAATCTTAGTATTTTTACATGTAAAAAAAAAAAGCAAAAAGATCCTTAAACTGTGTATTCACAAACACAAGAACAGAAGTACAAAGGAGGACAGAGCACAGCACAAACACAGAGCTGTGGCTGCATTCTAATTCCACAACTCCTGAGCTGCATTTCAGAATTTACTTTCCAGTCCAGCCTTTACCTCTGGCTCACGCTACGTTACTTTCTCACTGTCTCTCTGAGAGAGACAGAAAAATTTGAACAAAACAGAGCAGGCGTGTGTTTGTGCCTCTGCATGTGTGTCAAACAAACAAGATAATTTCATGCATTAGAAAATATGACAAGTACAATTTACAAATGCTTGATCAGAGAGAAGCAAAGCCATGAGTCAGCGATGCCATAGTTAACGAGTGAAAAACTATTCCATCCCATTCCATGTTCTGTACACGGCTACATGAGGCTGTTATACAGAGGCAGGAGCTTGTCCAGCCACTCCCCCATTACACAAATACACTTAGTAGGCAGCGCTCAACAAAAGGGTGGGGGCAAGAAGGTTACAGCTCCCCAAGGCTTCCTAATAAATCCACCTCTGCTCAACATTTTACATAATGATATAATGCATTATATTATTATAAGCAGTGACATCATAATAAAATACCAGAGTGCTACTCAAGTGGCAAGGAACACCTAAGATACATTTCTATACTTGTAATTCAGTTCCTGTATTTTTTAATTATAGATAAGAATTTAAAGTGAAAATAATTATTCATTCCATAAATCCTGTTGTAATGGATCCCTGGCATATAATTAAGAGGCCTTTAATTTTAATTTTGTATACTGAACGCCTGGTTTTGGAGGTATTCCATATTCTCTATTCAGGGCCTATACCTGCAAAGCTCTAAGCTTCTATTTTCGTGGAAGCTGAAGATGCTGCATGGTTTGCAAATTTAAGAACTTAGCTTTTATAACAACAGATACAAATAACAGGGCTCCATCAAATATGTTGCAAGGCATTTTCCTTTCTTCTAATTGTGATCCGTTTCAATCACGCTGTCAGTGTTCTTTGGCCCATCTCAGGTTGCAGTACCATTTTCTAACCCATATTTGCCATACAGCCAGTAATGATGGAGCATCTTCTTTCTAAAGAGCCTGATACCTAAAAGAGGGAACCTACCATCACAGCGTTCAGTGTTTTCTGGAAACTGATCTCTTAGATGGTAGAAAAACAGTTAGCCTATAATCTCACTGATAATGTGAAAATGGATGTCTCCAGTTATTTGCAACTGGATATACAACCTTTCAGCCTACAGTAAAGATTAAAATCACTGGCACATGATTATTACTAGGTGAGGATAGCCTTTCTGAAAAGGTAACTGTATTTCTCAATTCTAGTAAATGCAGACACTCACATCTTAAAAAGTACAACAATAACTGGCACCTTTTTGGCAGACTCAGCAGGCAGGTCAAAGATTGTCTCAGCATGTAGAATGAATTAATATTTCTCTCCCAAGAGCGGGTCCTTCTAGAAAAGGCTTAAGGCAGATTGGTGGGGCATTCAAAGGAAAGCTGGAGAGGGGGGGTGAAAACTTTTGTTTACATGAACATTTTTCAGATTTAGATCTAGACATATTTAAGTGTTTTAGTATTTTAATCTTGTATGAAAGGCTCCGCCCTTCCCTGTCCATCCCTTATGTGTCTGGTCTCCTCTGTAGCCCACCACACATATCCTAAGCTTTCTTCCCCCATTTCACTCTCTACTCCCACTCTGCCCTTTTGCAGGACTCTGTATGTCCCCATCATTGCCTTTAGTCCTCTGACCCCAATTCTTTGTTTTCTACTAATGCTCCTGGACTCCACTCTCCTCACTCTTCCGACCCCACTTCTGAGTTTCTCCCTGTGTGCTTTAGCTCCACTTCTTGCTGCAACAGGGTACAAAGTGATCACTTTGCTTTTGTCTCTTCATGCTAACAAGAGAGTAGCAAATGTTCCCCAGTGTTGCATCAAGTTGGCATTGACAGTTTACAGTGCATCTGCATTCAAGTCTTCTTGTTTGGTCATGCAGACACATCTCCAGTAACACAAACTTACTCCAAAGAGATTTGTTAACTAGCCTGCAAGTATTTAATGCTAAATGAATAAGGGTAAAAAAAATTGAATAAATCAAATAACAAAGATTGAGATAGGGAGCATATAATTGACTTAAAATGTAGCCTTCCTGACGCCCAGATACAGTTGCTGTCTCTGACAAAGACATAGTGGGAAGACTACTCCAATTTCAGTGTCCTCATGGGCATAATATGGTGACCTGAAAAGGCAAGAGCATAATTCTCTCACAGAATCGTACAGATTGGAAAAGACCTCCAAGATCATCAAGTCCAACCATCAACCATGTCCCAAAGTGCCACGTCTGCACATTTTTTGAACACCTCCAGGGATGGTGACTCCACCACCTGTCTGGGCAGCCTGTTCCAATGCTTGACCACTCTTTCAGGAAAGAAATTTTTCCTGATATCCAATCCAAACCTCCCCTGATACAACTTGAGGCCATTTCCTCTCATCCTGTCACCCGTTACCTGGGAGAAGAGACCAACACACACCTGGCTACAGCCTCCTCTCAGGCAGTTGTAGGGGGCAATAAGGTCTCCCCTCAGCCTCCTCTTCTCCAGGCTGAACAACTCCGGGTCCCTCAACCACTCCTCATCAGACTGGTGCTCCAGACCCCTCACCAGCTTCCTTCCCCTTCTCTGGACACGCTCCAGCCCCTCAATGTCCTTCTTGCAGTGAGGGGCCCAAAACTGAACACAGTATTCAAGATGTGATGAATACTCTCCTCACTTTTCTTCCTGTTCTGAACCTACAGTTGTAAATGCAGGCTGGCTGAAGTGGCTTGCCTTGCTGGCTCCTCTCAGATGGGTGTAATAGCAGCAGCTGCAACTTTCACTTCCCTGAAAGAATTAGTGAGCATTGTGCCTCCCTATGATTCTCCTACACATTGCATCATGCCTAGATGGCATTCTCTCACCCAGAACCATGGTTTACCATTCCTCCAACACATCTGTAGTACTCTCTGCTTGGCCTACATTCAAATCATTCTAGTCACTTAAGAAAACATCTAAAAGGAAATAAACACCAATTAAGGCACAGCCACTTTAATACAATAAAGATCAGCTCTGGACATAATTTCCTTGCTTTCTATCAGATAAATCTCCCATTTTTGAACATTTCATTTTGTACTTAGATTATGTCTTCTCAGATAAGCTTTAAGCATTACCATCTGTTCTGCAGCAATCACATGATCCTATCACTTTGATTCAGTTGAATACAAATCCCTTTGACAATAGGGAAATAGCAAAATAACACACATTTGTTCCAAATACTGCCACAACAGTAGATTGTTCAAGGGCTGCTTTATAGGGCAGGTAAGACATGGGGAAACTCTCCTACCCACCTCCTGTCTGTGCCCCACACTGTCCGGGCAGCTTTCTGACACCGAAGCTTCTTGTTTGCTGGGGGATTGAGTCAGTGTTTCAGCTGTGTTCAGCAGCCCCAAGGGCTGAAAGCTTAGCCAGGGCCCCATGCCTCTGCATGCCTGCTAGGATTTGGAAGCAAATCCTGAGTCAGAGGGAATACACCTTTCTCTTGCAGATGTAAGAGCACTATAGTTACACCTCTCAGCAATCTCTGAGGCATTCTTTCTGCATCTGTCCTCTGCAGGCAACTGGCCCACAGCCACTGCAGCAACAGATCTTCCCTGCTGGTTTCTAGGAGAAAGGCAAAAGCAGAGTTTGTACCCACTATTGTGGCCACATCTATTAAGAAAACTCCAGTGAAAGGCTCGTGCATATTATGCAGATATTTGGAGCATTCTTCTACTTAGAATAATTTCCCCATTGGAATGGACCTGTTTAGCAGAAAGATGATCCTATTCAGATTCAAAACAGAGAAGACAGTATGAAGTATTTCTCTTTAAGATTTGAAACAAGCACAAACTGTACTATCGAAGTAACTTGCAGTTCCTAGCTTTGCATATGCAGACAATGTATATCGTTTGGATGAATCACCAAAAAAGGGTGCATTGCAAATCTTCTCACTATGTCCATCTACACTCCTCAACAATATGTTACAAACATTGCATCGTTCAGAAGGTAATTTTGCCTTATTTTCACCCACTGGATAATTCTCAGAGGGAATGTTTCAGCTGTATTTGTGGTTGAACAGATGAACAGGTTAAACTGCCTAATATTGCTATTTATAACTGCCTGAAATTTAGGCTACTAATTTATTATGAAGCAAAAATATAGCAATAAACCAATGCACTATAAATTCTAGCTGAATTTGGTATTATGGCTATTCTAATGTCATATAATTTACAGACAAATGCAACACTTCATTTTCTCCTCTTATTTTAATGGCACTGAAAATTCACCGAAAATTACTGTTATATGAGTTTTCATATGATAACTCTGAGGATGAGAACAACAAAATGCTCAGATTTCAGTGTTGCAAAGACAAAAAAATGTCTTGGACCATGCACTGTTCATTTGCGTTTTAGCATCTGTTTAAAGTTGGTGTTTTCTCCAAGTTTGTAAGCTGCTTCAGTAGTTAATCTGCAAGCAGTTGGTGAATATAAATCTCTCAGAACCATGCTATCTTTTTTCTATCAAGCTAAAAGGGAAAGGGTGATTCATTTTAAGTGTATTGATGATAGAAGGGCTCTGAATAACATTTTATCTGCAATACTGTACTTGAAAGGAATGAAGTGCAAGTTAAACAAACAGTAACAATGAATGCATTTTTTTCAGGGGTGGTCCTCTTGGAAAATGTTAACCACATTAAAGTAGGTAGTTATTGAAATATGCAATTAATTTTAAGTTGATATAAGTTGAAACTGTCATTCACCTGAGCAGGTGGTGGAAGAACCTTCTTGCATATCTGCTGATTGGGTCCCTGTACTCCCGCACGGTTGTATCCAAGAGGGGTCTTGTTGGAGCATAAAAGGTTCCAAGGCTTGCCTCAAGCTGTGCTGTGGAGTTCAAACACAGCAGCAATGAAACAAGTGAAACTGTTTCAATTACAACTGGTTGCTCATGTTTGCAGTCAAATTCCTCAAACACTGATGAAATGCGATGTTGTTGTAGGAGAGGTGAAATTAAAATATGACAGATTGTACAAACACAAATGTGCATATCAACTTTCACTCTGAGGCAGAGTTGACAATGACTTTGAGCAACAAAAGCTGTCAAAAGAAGTCTATAACACATCAAGTTCTCACCAGCAGAGTACAATTAAAAGTGACTCATAAGAGTAATACAGTTTGAACAAGTTTGTCCAGTAGAGATCAGCTCTCCATTAGCTCAAATTGTCTTTGTCCTCCTAGGCAAAACCCAAGAAAGTTCAGTTTTGCAAGGATTATTGTGTTAGGTCAGTGGGTGACAGAACCCTTCTTGTGATGGTCCTGAGGTCTAAGGAACCTCCTTCAGCCCACAGTTCTATAAAAACTTCAAATAAAAGGGTCTAGAAACCCTGAGGGTTTGGCTCTCCTATAGCATGTAGTGGTGGGAAACAGGATAACCTCCCTCGTAACCAATAAAAAACCCCCCTTTTTGTTACAGAAGTTCTTTCTGCTTTAAATACCTTCTGACTGCTACACTCCACAGTGGGAGCTCTTAGGCATTTTTCTACATGTTTTTAATACAAAATTATAAATAATACAAGAAAATACACAGTATACGTTTGTGTCTCACATGCTTAGCTGAAAGGAAACTTAATGATCAATAATATTTATGTTATGTGACTTCTACTTGAGAGTTAATATGTAGTACAAGTCCTTATAGGCAGAACAGGGAGAATTTGCTATATATTTGCTATATAGGTTCTCCTTTCAGAGCGAATGTGCAAACTGCCACTGCTAATCAGAATTTGTGTGGGCTTTAAAAGCAAAATATAACCTATTGTCTCATTAGGCAGATAAAATCTCATTGATTTTCTGTTATTAATGCTTGTTTGAACTAGCTATTTCTGTATTTAGTGATAATTTCCAAACATAGTTACATTTTATTTTATTAGGCTTGATAGCACTAAATGTGCTAATAGTACTGTGTTAGGAACACAGGCAAACTATTAGTAAATTAGGTTTTGTGTTATCTTAAATCTAGACAGTGAGATAAGTTGAACTTTAAAGGTATTTTCTTTCAAAGCAGCAGTCAATTTAGATTAAAATTGAATACAGCAGTACCTTTGCAAAAACAAGCCATACTCTCTTGCTGTTTTCTTGACAGCATGTTTTGTACTTCTAAAATATTTCAACGTACGTGGAATACAAGTAACTACTAGCACAGTTATAGATTCATTAGATAGCCCAGCTTGATCTTGAAGGCAGAATAAAGATCTCAGAGATAACTGCCCCATCGCTATAAATAAAAGGCCCCACTGGGTTTTGCTAATAAAAAAGCAAACAAATTACCATGTCAAATTTGTTAAGATTCAAATAGAATAACTCCTGGACAGAATGAAAATCTATCTGCTGTAAACAGTGTTAGGCAGCTGCATGGGGGAAACACACAGACATCTATTTATAATGTGCATATTTTTACAAGAGTTTGAAAACCAGCCCTGTTCATGGGTCCTTTTAAAAGCATGCTTTATTTAGAATTGATGCGCTATGTTTGCAATGAAGAGACTTTTTTTAATCAGATCCCCCAAAATGGGATAGCTGATGGCTTGGCAGCAATGTAGGACACCTTGGCGTTTTTCTATCATCAAACACACCAGAATCCTAAGTATTCTTTCTTGCCACAAAAGATGCCTGGTCCCCAGCTGTCTGCCTGTTAGACTGGAGGATAACACCTTCACTAAATCAAGGCACTTCAAATCCTGAAGTCTACTGAGTTTCAAGATAGACAGCAAATCATGACGAAGGCATCACACCAGGCTTCAGCAGAGACGAGGCTGAACCTAAAATTCATCATTTCTTGTGAGGGAACCCAGCTACTACTGCAGGGGGCCAGATGATTACAGTGAGGACAAATGCTATAATCCTAAAGGAGGCAGCAGAGGATAGTGTATTCAAAGCCCTTGGATCTTGTAATGAAAGAATGACCCTTCAAAAGCACCTTAAAACCATACTAAAATTTCTTGTCCCCGTTGCAAGGAAAACGTCCCTCCTTAAGCTGGTGCTGTCTCAGTATGAATATATAACAAATATTTGAATCCTATATCAACTAACATTAGTCTGTAACATAAGCTAAATTTATGTAATGTAATAAAGTTACAGCACATAGAAGACACTGCTATATATATTAAGTCATGCCTATACTACATATATATTAAAATATGCATTACTTTAGTATCACTATTGTTACAAATGAACTAAAATGCAATCAACACGTTGATGCAGATTTTATTGAAATTACTTGTCTACATATGACATTTGATTATGGAGTACCATAATCTGGCTGACTGTCTGGATTCTCACTATTGTCTTCTTTATAAAGTCAATAAATATATTGTCATAATCCACATATGAATTACAAAGACACCACAAAAATACATTAAAAATACAATCAATCCCTTACCTTCTCTGTCTGGTGTAAGCTTTTGTTTAAGAAGGTGATTGACAATGGCACTCAAGCATATGTAACACTGGCGACCCATCGTGTTCCAGTTCATGGTATTCAGGACATTAATTGCCTCGTGTATCTCATCGTAACGAATATACTGGTGGATGATTTCCACAAGACCCAGCTGTCCTCTGGTGATCACACCTTTCACAGGAGGTATTAAAATGAAAGACAGTGTTATGAGTTTGTAAACCAGCAGCTCACTACTTTTCAGCACAGTTAGAAATAATTGTTGTTGGTTAAAATGAGGAAGTTTAAGTTCATAGGTTTCACTGTTAAATTTTTATGTGAGATAGCTCCTTATTATCTTGGTATATTTAGACTGAGGGTGCTTTGGACAGCAGAGAAAAACCATCAGTGAACTTCACATACAGAGGTTGAGCGAATGTGGCCAATATTTATTAGTGACAACAACATCATGTAATGAAGTTTGTTTTAAACATGGTAGAAAAGGCTTATTCCCAGTTTATCATTATTGTATTGCTGGAAAACACTAAACATTTGTCTCACAGAAACGTACCTATGTATACATGTTTACAGCAGCTCAAATGTCAAAGCAGCAGTTCCTCCATTACTCTCTACATTGCAACTGGTCTAGAACTTACTTCTAGCTTGACAAAATTCTCAAAGTGAAGCATTTCTTCTGTGAAGGGTTATCATGAAAGATATCAACATTTAGGGACCTTTGAATTACAGTTACACATGAAACCAAGAACTTGCTTGCCATAGGGGAAAAAAAACGAGCAACACATTGCTCACCCCATGAGAAAATTATTTACCTACAGCACTCTATCTCTGAAAAGTAGAAATTAAAAGACTCTAAAATTTTCTTGACTTGTAGGACTCAGCTTCTGAACAGAAAAGGTGACTGAAAACTGCAGAGAGTAATGTTACTTACGGTTTCTGACTACCCATATGATCGTGTGACATAGGCCACACATGGCATTTTAGCAATTCCTGCTTGCTTTGGGTCACTGTGCTAGAGTATTCTTCATCACTACTGTGCCAGATATTAGAAAGAGACCAGAATAAATTTACTGTTCCCCTCTCTTTAAATAAAAACATGATGTTATTTTTTTTTACTCAATTGATATTCTGATCTTGAATGTCAAAACTAATTTTAAGGGAAAAATTCTGATGGGAAAGGGAACAAGCTGAATTTCAATACTGATATTAAAGCCATATGGTTGCTGGGGAAAAAAAAAAGTTTAATTACAGGGAAAAGCAGTCCTAATATATATAAAACATACCTCACAAAATTTTCATAAATGTAGTTGTGAATATTGTTTGTGATGTAAAATAAGAACTGAGAAAAAAAAAAGTAGAGGAAAACATCTGACTAGAGCTCGAGGACAAGCAACCTGCTGAGAACTTGCATATACAGATCTGATGCTTTGAGGAAAAAAAGCTTACATATTTATTTTTTGTAACAGAGAAATACTTCAGTTTTTTAGTGTCATTAAAGAAAAGACGTGGTTGTCTATTGTACTTCACTTTACATTTGCATGTATTAAAGCCTATGGACATTATCCTGCATAATAGCCATGTTTAACCTGTGTATGTGTGATAATATCTAATTGTTACAGTAGACTTTATTCTTCCTAAATGTTTAGTGTTTTTAAAGTATTACACAACTTAGGCACTCTTCACATTAATGACTCAGTGAAGATGAAAATACTTATTTGCATGCTAATTAAATATAATACTGTATTTAAAATGCCTTTTGAGGCCAGCAATGCTGAACCACTGGCACCAATACCAAGTTTGGCATTATCCAAGATCTGGGTTGACATCAACGACAAGAAGCCGCAATTCTTTTGAAAATGAATTTGGCATTAGACACCAAAAATATTTGCCATTAATGTTTGAGGGTAAATTTAATATCAATCTTTTCCTGAAATAAATCTGGCTAGACAGCATAATGGAGAATTCACAGAACTTGTCCAAAATCATAATATGTCAGCTGGAAGTTAAAAACATATTTGCCTATTCTCATTGACATCGTTTCTTAACAGACTTTTACGGGAAACAATTCCAAGCCATGATTTTATTATGGATTTTATTCCAGCCCTGAATGTCTGTCTGGGTTTTCCTGTCATGAACCCCTAAATTTTCTGTATAATTTATATTTGCATTATTTCTTAAATAGCAGAGACCTAAAACCTGCTAGGTTAGGAAGAGGGGCTGACTAATCAACACTACATTGCCTTGGTAGTGTGGCAAACTGAGGAGGGGTAAAGCTGAAAACTGGGATGCAATAGAGAACAGCACATTTTTGCACAGTGGACTACAAAGAGAGAGAGAGGGAGGGAGGGAGGGAGGGAGGGAGGGAGAGAGCTTTGCCTCCTTTCTAGAAGAGATTTTGCAGTAATTATACAGAATGAATTTTAAAATGTGATAACTTTCAGCTGTAGAGGTCAACATCTTCCCATTTGGATGCTTGACTTCTCCTGGGTGGTGCGCTTCCAGGCAACCTGCTTGGGAAAAAGAGGTGACAGCCAACTCACTGCCTAATTGATTTAGGAACGGTGCCCAGGGAGACAGTCCAATTAAATTTACAAGCTCGCAATTAGCAGGAAAGGCCTCTAAATCCCTGCACTGAGAGCCTGCTTGCCTTCGTAAGAACATAAATGTGCTAAAGATAGCAAGGGGAAAGCTGTGCTTTCTGGAAAGCTGCTGTGAGAAAACCCCACAAGGGAGGACTGAAGAAAAGCAAGGTAGATGTGGGTAGAGTGCCTTCTGCTTGACAGGTAAGAGGTAATTTAGAGGGTTTTTTTAATGGCCAACATGCACAAAACCATCAAATAGCTGTTATAATTAGTGTTATGGGGTACTCTGCAACTATTAAACCTGTCATTGAACATAGTGCAGCTGAATTATCTCAAAATAAATGATTACTTGTAAACAGTTTTTTAACAGTATTTTTGGATAACTAATAATCTGGATCAGCTCTTTTAAAACTATACAACTATAAGCCAATCCAACATTTTTGTTGCTAACATCCTACTATATTAATTTACCCTTTTGCAGGGGCACACTTGGTTAAGTTTTTTAAATTCAGTCTTTCAAATATTTAGGTCTGCAGTACTTTTAGACAGGATTTTTCCCCACAAAAGCACATGCATGTTTCAATCAGTAAAGAAATAAAGTAGATTTTCAAACCTTACTGTCACCTTTTTTTTTAAAAAAAGGCTTCTTTGTAATCTCAATAGCTTTACACAAAAGAATCATAAAAACGCTCCTGTAAAGATCTACAAAGGCAATCCTGTTTCCTTGGACAGACAACGGGCAAAATGCTGAAATTTTCCAGGATGAGTATATTTGACATGGCTGTCTGCCCTGCTGAAACACTGGCTCGGTAATCAGAAGATTTAAGCATGATTGTTTTTTTAGCTCTCAGGGTGGGTTTGCACCACTGTAACTTGCCTGACGTGAACAGAACCAATGAAGTTCTCACTGATGAGCAACTGCAGGGGTTTTATTCTTAGTTCAGCCACTGACTCATGTAACTCTTGGAAAGCCTTTTAGCTTTCCTTTACTGCTTCTTGTTATTCTTTTTGTAAAATTAAGATAGTAATGGTTTTACTGTCTTGAAGTCTCCTTACACCTAAAATGAGAAGTGCTGTATAAATTCTAAAGTTAGTATTATTACTTCTTCTTTTATTCACAACTCCTGGCAAATTAATTGAGAGACCAAACTACTCTGAAGGTTATGAAAACCTTCCTTCTTGTGTGAAAAGTCTTCAAGGAAAGAAACGGTGTATCTTCTTGTACGGAAGTCGTGAAGAACAGGGTAGTGGGACAAATATACATTACAATGGAAAGGACAGTTGCATCATGCACACAAAAAAATAATTCAGGACAGAAAATAGCATTACTATCCTATTATTAAAAATAGCTTATTTTAGCTTGTTAGAGGTATTACTACAGAATGAATACCATTCCTAAAATTATATCCTACAGAATAAAAGAATTTTAGATGAGAAATGGTTAAGCTTTATTAGAGTGGCGGGTAACATAATGGGACCCTGATCCAACAAACAGATCGGGGTCCTGTTCTGTCAGACCCCACATGAAAAGTTACTAAGTAATTGTGAAACATAATGAACTCCTTGGTTCACAACTTCAGACATCAGTGGAACTACGTGCTTTTAAGGCTATGGTCCCATATATCTAAAATGAGGGTGTTGCTTTCAAACTACAAAAAACTTGTGAGGTACCTACATTTTCTTGAAAGCTCAAGGTTCAATAGATGTGCTCAGCAACTTACCAAGTTTAAACTGAAGTGCTCCTAAGGGTCCTTTGTCGAATCTAACCAACAGAAGATCATGAATATCTGTGCCATCAGCGGTGGCAGATGCAACTTGAGGAGCAGCCCACTGGATCTGGATGAGGCTGCTAGGCACGTCAAAGTGTTTACTGAATTGCAGAGTTGCCTCAGGTGAATAGTCTTGTGCTAAGAGCTGAATTTTAATTGGGGACAGTGCTGTGTCAAAAAGTTGCAGCTCCCCTTGAGAGCTGCCAACTATGAATATGGCTCCGGAAGGGTGGTAGGTTATGAAAGCAGGCAACAGTTCTGCTTGGGCTAACAGAGTCACTTGGTTGTAGGCTTCATACAGAATTACTGATGAATCTTCACAACCCAGGACCAGTTTGTCTTCCGTAACGTCTCTGCAACAACTGATGGCCTTGGATCGTAGTGGTATTCTGGTGACTGCTGCACACTGAATTTTGTTCCTAATGCACTTGTAGACGCAGCTGTCAGCCATGGGCTCTTTGGCTGCGGAGATGGAGTGCTCTACCGTGTAAACCTGGTATGGCTGATTAGTGCTGAAGCGAGCATCGAGTGGATCCCATTCTGTACGGACATAACTCAGAATCTGAAAGAAATTCAAAACATTTTGGTAATAATTTGTAAGAATTTATTCTTACTTTGATGATTTAAAAAACAGACCACTGCAAATACACTTCCTCATGGGTCGGTAAGCTAAAACAACTACGCATTTTAGAAGTATAGTTGTAAAATTGATTGGTTTAATTTTTAAAAGGTTAATTCCTTTGATTAAAAACTCCTGCGATATAGTTTGAGCCATATTTGTTTGTCCAGAGTATGTAATAGGTTAGCAGAATAGAAGGTAAAAGAGGGGATGGTCCTAACACTGTTAGTAAGAGGAGAAATGAGCAGCTGACTGATATAAAAGAGTAACTGATTATTCACAAGTGGCGTGGGGGAAAAATCCCAAAATTTCTAGAAAATTTTATAATTGGTTACTCTGAGCATTTTGGATCATTTGCTCTGGGCCATGGTAACAAAAAATATTACACTGAAAGAATGGTGTGTTTAAACAATGGCTATTCATTGCCAAATGAGTAGGTGGTAGATGTTCTGTGGTGCCGTATAGCTTTAAATGCAGAATAAATGAATTTGTGATAGCAGAAAAGTGGGACCATTTAGGGGTACTTGAAGGATAAACAAACTGGAAGAAGAACACAAAGGCAGAATATGATACAAAGACAGCAGCTGGCAAAGAGCAAGAATTTGTAGTGTGGAAACATGGGAAGTACCATAAAGTGATGGAGGCAACAGTGGAGACCAGTGGAGATTCATGTCCTAAAATACATGGGTTTGAGCAAGAGGTGTTGTACAGGACTCAACCAGGGAAACTGTGGGAGAAATACCAGCTCTAAGTAATTTACAAATTAGCTTATGAAAAGCTATTTCTCTGAAAGAGAGGGATAACCAATGGCTCTAGAAGAATGAGACTAGTGGAAGTCAGTCGAAACTTGCTGGTGTTTGTTCATGCGGAAATAAAGAGTGAAAGGAAAATGTCAAACTGAGCCAAACCCCGCCCTCAGGTATACCCGGAGCATTCTTCACACTGTAAACTAAAGCTGCTGACCTGCCACTAATTTTGGAAGCCCCTTCTTTTGAGTCCAGGTGGTATGCAAGTACAATTTACACAGAAAGGGATAACAAATGTGATTAAAAGGCAGAGAGAGGGCAAGGGAGGAAATCTGAAAATTTCATGTTGAAAACAGAAATGCACACATAATGTTAAACCAATTTAAATTTTATTTCTACAGATCACAAGATCAACTGAATATATAATTTAGCCTTTCATCCTGCAAAGAAGCAGCATAAGAAATTAAGATTTTTTTTGCATATCACCCATTACTTCAGAAGCAACTGATGAATTTATAAACAAGTTATTCGGGATGTTGATCAGACTGATTAGGATGTTTTGTTCTGACAGTTTACTTATTTTGTCAGCAAAAGAGTTTCTCATTCAAAACAAAGAAAAAAGGATTATTGCAATTCTGTGGCCGCAGACCAGCTGCCGATTAATACAAAAGTCTTAGCTGCTTTAAGATGAGTAGTTAGGCACATGCAAAGAAACACTTCATCCAAAAGCTTCTAATACAGAAGCCAATGCATCCAACTTCTGAAAACTAGGTAAACCGATTTCAACAGAGTAGTGATCAATGAAAATATATACCCAAAAGTAAATAAAAGATTAAATTACTTATATAGTCTGAAAAACATTTTCTCACCTCCACCATTCCCTCACCAATGACTTAGCCTCTGCAACTACTCCTTTATGCCCACAAAATGTGCAGTGGCTACTGTGCAGATGTTAGAACTGCTGAAATGTGTAGCTTATTAGGGTGTTAAATTGCATAGCAAGGAAACCCGTAAAAGAGGTTATTGTGGACAAAGGATTACTGTGACCACAGAGCTCTCTAACCCCAAATAAAGAAAAGGTGAAGTATTATTGTTTGTTCTGCAGTTTTCCCTAAGAGTATGTATAGAGACCCAGGTAGCCGCCTTTCAAATATGTGAAATAGAAATCTTGCCCAAGCAAGTCTTCAAAGCTTCTATAACTTCAGTGAAATGAGCCTTGAGGCCCTCTGGGACTCAGATTTCTGTCTTCCTGTGGCAGGTTTCAATGCACTGCATTATTCATCTACATATTTTGATCCCAAACCAGTGTTCCTCTCTGGACATCTCCTCACAAGCCATGAGAAAGTCACAACGATCCACACAATAATGAAGCCTATGAGAGATGAAAGACTGAAAGCGCTATCAAATCCTGAAGAGGGACTGGCCTTGAAGGTTAAGACAATAGAGAAGAAAACACATGAAACATGGATTTTATAGCTCCATGGGAGTGACTGCTGGAAAACAGCAACGGAAATAGTCACAGAAAAATAAATGTTGTCATCTGATCGTTTGAGAGTCAGCAAGCAAACTGAACCCAATTAATAATTTGTTCTGCCTTGTTAGAGCAGAAGTGGGACAAAATGTTGCTTGCTACTTTGAATTTGAAAGAAAGTAAAATCTTATCTTTTGGAAGGCTAATTTAATGAGCCTTGAGATGAGAAGCTTCCTAGCTTCACATAATTTTGAGAGCAAATCCTTGAAATGAAGTCTAGGGTAGGGCTGGTTGCTGTATATAATGCAATTCTAAACTAGGAAAAAGTTTCTGCGAGGAGAGAAAGATTATCTGCTGTATTTCAAAACATAAGTTTTGACATAATGCTTAAACAAATTAGGCTTAAAGGAAACTTTTCTAGACACTACTGTTCATAATCTGTATGAAAACACGAGAAACATTTCTCCTCAGATTGGAGCAGAAAAGCTGCTTCTCATGGATCATTGGCCTCATGTACCTCTTGGAGTAAGAGTACCGAGCCGAGAGACCTCTTTGTTCTGGTTTCCAGTTTTGCCAAATGTAACTGGTATTTGGCACTCTAAAGGGGAAAAAAGAAAATATATTCTCTTTCATCTAAGAGGTTAGATTTGAGTTTCTCTGTCAGAAATTACTTTTATTATTAATTCTTCATGCTGCTAACTGGAAAACCAAAGCAGAGAGACATACAACTGCAGAAACATGTTAATAAGGCTGAGATAATGCTTCTGAAAAATAAGAAATCTAACAGTCAAAACATCTCTTTTTTCCAAGAAGATGGTTACCTGACAATTGTTTTTCTATCTGGTAAGTAGCAACATGTTAGTAAACGTAGTGCACGTAGCGCTTTAGCAGTCCATTTAAAGGAATCCGCTGGGATTCCTTCCCAGTGAGCAGTAGTTGTCTGGAACCCTAAAGGGGAACATCAAATAGCAATGTATCTTTAAGTTAACAAAACATTTGCTTGGGAAATGGGAATGCAAACGCTGGGGGAGTTCCCTCAGAAGTGGGTAGGACATCTCTAAGATTTGCGGAGGAGGGGACAGGGCAGTAGATGTGAAAAGCCAGAGCCATATCACATGGTGGGGTGTATAATCCCACTCAAAGTTAAGTGCTTTCCATAAACCTGGGACTAAGCACTTAGCCTTGGATTTCAAGGGAAGATTTTTTGGAATTACTTTGCATGAAATAAAACCAATTACTTTCTCTAAAATAAATAGATAAATTATAAAAATTTTTAAAGTCCCTCTTAGTTTTGTGACATATACACTAGAAAAATATAGTAAATGTATTTAAATATTGTCCACATAATTTATGCATATTTCCCTTATTAATGTGGCAGTCACGCACCACTACTGCACATTTATATTGTTTTTCCATTGCAGTACTGGCCTGCACTCTCCATCAACTAATCAGCAGTATGAGGGATACTATACATGTCAAATTCTCAAATCCTAGAGTCAGAAATCATAACAATCCAAGGAAAGGAATCTTTTAATCTTTGTAAGTAAGGGGCCTGAATTATGCTAGTTAAAATGCTTTCTTTCTTTTTATGTTTGAAAGAAATAATAGCACTAGCTTGTGTGGGCAGTATCACTCTTCTCGGTGCAAATCTTTGAACATGTAAAACTGAAGTATTTTGCATAGAGTGCTGGGGTAGGATAAAGTCCACATATCAAAACAAATAAGAGTTTTAACCAGTAGTTCTTAAGCAGAAAATTGGCTTACCAGGCAGATAAAAAAAGAAAACAAAAGAAACAGAGAAATAAGCTTGCTGTGACTGAATTGTGTGTCTTTCAGATGAGAAAAAATGTTTGATTTATTTTATGGATGTCAAAAAAATGCTTATTTAATTTCACACAGTAAGGCTCCAAATAACAACAAACACTTCAATTAGAAATGTAGAGTGGGAAGTGTAGTGCACACTAGAGTAAAACAGTTAAATACAGCACTGTGAAGACGGAAGAAAAAAACCCACCTATTTTTAAACATTTCTAAAATAAGAATGCAAGGCTCCTACTCTACATTACTTATTTGGCTGCATTGTATTTACAGTCCCACATGCATTCTTATTATTTAGATCTTCATCCAACATTTACTCTTATTTTAATTCAAAATTTATCATCATCATCTTTATCCCATATTATTCATTGAACTTTTAACCCAACGTGACATTCTTTGCTATATGTGTGTGAGAGGTATTTCAGCCGCTCAGTCACACACCGTAGATGTTTTTCTGAGTGCTACAGTAATTGTAGGATAGCTCACTCACAAAAGATCTACTGTGTTTACTTCACAAGTTTGAGGCACAATGTGAAAGCAATAACTATTAAATATTATCTCATGGGAGAAAGAAGAATAATATTCTCGCTCAGGCAAATTATTTTTTCCACAAGATTGAAGTATAATTTCAGTGATTCGCCCTAGCACTAAATGGAGTGAAAATAAACATGGCAATGACAAATGCAAAGTACTACAGTAACTGAGCCCTGGCGTCATCACCTCCTGTTAATTTATGTTTGGAGAATAAAGTTCATGTTGATTTTAACATGACTTTCTCTCAAAGCATTTAATCCAGGGATGGTGTCACAGCAGATCCTATTTATTCATAGCAAATTGTTTGACATGATTTCTGGAAGATTCCTCTTCTGGTTTTGAAATCAAAATACCAGCATTATCTCCACAGGGAGACAATTTAAATAACATCCTTGTTCACTGGTACTTTAACAAAGAAGAAACAAACAAACCTCAAATAATTAAATAAATAATTTGGAGAATGGATGTGTTTACTGGAGGAAACCAACTCGTGCAAGAAAGCTAAGGTTCAACAGAAAAACACTCCTGTAGCAACATGCACGCATGTATATAAATGTACATCGGACACCAAAGCAAAGTCATATGTTAAAGTAAAAAGCACTTTTATTTCTTCAGGGGTTGACTCCTCACCAAATCTTACAGCATTCAACACAGTAAACACTGATCTCAGAAAAAAATTGAAGGGGGTAAACCAAGTCAAGATTTGCAAGGTAAAAGTTCTTTCTGTTTTTAGAGGAATAATGCCTAGCTTTAGCCTTAATAGTAGCAAATGTTAAAACACAAAGCCACACAGCACAATTCAAATCAAATTTATAGTGTATTTAAATGTAAAATGTATTTCCTCCATTAAGTTGAAAAGCTGCTTAAGTACACAATACCTCAAACACTGTATGTGCAATGTGAATCATCCCAATGCAGAACATGTAGTTACAGGATATTACCATGATGAGGGGTTGAGTTGCCTTGTCCCAGAGCTATTCCTGTCCTCATCCTCATAAGCACTTCTGTTGGGCAGCAAATATCACTCAGAAAATTCTTCCAGAGAGGAAGTAGTATCACCTAAGTGCCCCATTTACCTTTGCTCTGCCACAACAAGAGTGTCAGTAGCTGGCAGATCTTTTTCTGGTTTCGTAGGTCAGCACCAAGGTGCTATAGAACAGTTGTGGGTAGCACCCATTCATTTCCTTGGGCTTGGTTTAATTTTTCATAAACCTCCTCTTAATTCTAGTTAATAATACTGTTTTGTCCAAGCGATACTACTATTTTCAAGTAAAATGTTGGTGGTATTATTTTACTACACTTCTTTTTGATAAATGCTTCAGATTGAATCAGTTCACACTTCTCATTCTTCTTTTGTTGACAATAATAATTTACTGGTAAAGAATAATATTATAGGTCAAATATGATAAATATGGATCTACTTCCGTGCATAACAATGGCATGTCCTGTTTCTGTTCCAGGTCTATACCTGAGGAACACTACAAATGGTAAAGGAGTAGAGGTAAAGAGAAGCGAAGCAGCATGCTTACAGAAACCCTATATTTTTCTGTTATCTGAGCTAGAAAGTAACTGTTCAGAAGTTGTCTAGAAATGCTAACTACGTTTCTGCTCATGTTTAGGCTATCAAATGACCCTCAGAAGTTAAAGGTGTTAACTTAAAGTTCACATCCAAGACTCTGTAGGGGGAAAAAATACCTCAGCTGATTGCAGATTGGGGATTGATGCTGCTTCTAGTGCCGCTGGGTTATGACATCCCCCATCCATGCACGGGAATTTAACTACTGCCCATAAGTAGCACTAGAGAAATTAAGGAAAAAGAAACCCAAACCAAACATTACTGGAGGCTACACGCCATGGATACATAGGGGAAGGCAGAGTGTCTTGAGCCTTACACAGCAGCCCACTGAGCATCCAAGAGATAAGTACATGGACCAGACCAATTGGCAATCAGCAAGACAGTTTGTTATCTATATATGACTAAGTTTTCCATAGCCCTGGAATAGTGCTTGGCATTTTATAGACAAATACAGGAAAAGAAATTTCATCTTAAGACAAGTACAGGCAAAGAATCACAAAGGGGAAAGCAACTGAACAGTTAAATTCGGCACTTCTGTTTTTAAAAATAATTTTCTTATATTTATATTACAATATGGGCTAAATTAAAAGGATTATGAGTTTAGGCCTAAAGGCTCAATGAATGCTTATTATCATTATTGTGTTAAGCACCAGTGATGTGCCTGGGACTATACTAGACAGCCTCAGCCCTGAGCAATTTAAAGTCTAAACCAGAAAAGGATAAAACAAGGTGTACTGAAAGATGCAGAGCAATGCTGTAATTTGGAAATCTCCCTATATTATGTAAAATGAAACAGAGAAAGCTTTAAACTGACAGAGTGGTTTCTGTGAATTTCTTCGAAGAAACTAGTCTCTAAAAACATCTCAGAAAAAAAGAGATTGCAAACTGCTATGTTGGCATTAGGAAGCTTTCTGGAAGATGTGGGAAGGAAACAAAAGACATTGGAATGTCGCTGTCAGAACCTGGACATAAGGAAGTCATGGTAAGAAATAAGATCTGAAATGTTAGTAGGATGAAGTTTCATAATATCAAACTGTCATAGGGACTAGGCTGAGAAAACTTACAAGGTACAGATGCACGTTTTAGCTACCAGAGTAATTTTTATATGCGATTGGGCATAGCTGCAGGGGGAATTGAGAACTGCAGGTGTATATCAGGCAGAAGAGAGAGATGAGTCAAAGATGACCGCTCGTGGAGAGAGGTCAATTGAAAAGAAGTAAAGGCAGCAGAACTGGAGGTCATTTAAACTTAAATTCTACAGTGACTAATGACTGAAACAAGAAAGAAAAACTGTCTCAAACTTTTCTCTTTTGCTTTCAACGTATAGAAAATCCCAAGGGAAAAAAAGCTTCACTGAAATTAATATAAGTTATCAAAGTAATAATTCCAAGACATTAAAACATTTACATCTTCCCTAATTAAAGAGAACAGGATATTGTTTATAAGAGCAGCTTATTCTAAAGTGTTACTTAGGGTTTTCCCCTACAGGTAAATAGCCTGTAATAGCTACTCCAGAACAGCTATTCCCCAGCCGATCCTCAAGTTTGTGCTCTTCTCCCACAGTCAGTGCCTTTTTAGTCCATATTAGTAGTGGCTTAAGCTAAACTGAAAATAAAACTCCAGCTACAGGAGCCTCTATACAAGATGCTATTTCAAAACAGCTTTTACATTTTAAACTCAGGCTCCAGTTCTTTTCAGAGTATGCCCAGATAGCTTCATTTTTAAGTTTTTACCTTTAAGTTTATGTTTTTAAGTTTTAAGAAACTGGATTCAAATACTCTTAAATAGATTAAATAAAAATGAAATAGATGAAATGGAAACATGTGCCTAAAAAGGTAAGCTAAACAAGTGTCAGGAAGAGGGTCAGCTTGTAGCCTTGTTCTAACTTGTAGCTTACATCCCCACCTGTAGAAGGGGAATTTTGACTTTTTATTTAAGAAAAAAAAAGTCCCTGATTTGATCAATACTCATAGCAACAATTTAAGCAGCATCTGGGTATAGCTAAAATTTTATAATAAAACATCTAAAATAGATGTAAAATGCCAATCAATTAACATTGCAATGTAAAATACTTGCATTAGACAAGCATGCAACAGCTACAGTTTCTAACTCAGGTTAGAGTTTTCTAGTGGTACTCTGACACTTTTATTTTCAGTGTTAGCAGCTCCAAAGCTATTCCATTATAAAGACCTAACTTCCTTGCTACATTTCTCAGATTGCCAGTTTTGATGTGAAAATAGTAAACATACTAAATAAGGTGCTTTTTTGTTAAATAATGAACCTTTGTTTTTAAGATTAGAATGGCTGATATCCCTTTCTTATGTTTTTATCATATCTGTTCTTTATATCTACCTGAATATGCACTTAAGTTGAATAGTTATTTCTTTAGCAAATCCGAAAAATCATGTAACAAGACAGTTCAGCACTTTACCTCCAATTTGCCATGTGCACAGCCTAATAGCAATAGGTTGGCTCTGTCCCTCTCACAGGAAATAGGAGACCAAGGCCATGCTCCATCACTAGTTGCTGGCCACCAGCAAATGACCATATCTTGCATACAATTTATTGCCAGGTGACGTTTCATCCTTCTACCTTCTGGTCCAAGGATATCAATATAAGAAATCTGTTGGAAGAAAAAATGCAGGAAATATTTGAGGTGATAAAGTAGCATAGTAGGAGCAATTGGGAGCATTTACTTTGGATGCGTGAAAGAATGTATATGTACACAGAGGACTGCGTACATATATCTTCATATAGGCTGTCTGCAAATGTAAAAAATATCTTCTCAGACAGAAAAAGACATGCTCACACTTTTATCTATGGGGAGGGGATTGGGAAGGAAAGGAATGTGAGTTAAGAAGGAATTTACTGCAATGACTCCAATCAATACCAAAATGTACAGTCATGGTTGCTTGACAGCATCGACCTACACATATGATTTAAGCTTAGCCATATTAAATGACAAGTTCTGCAAAGCTGACCACGGAGCTAAGGCTAGTGTTTAAGACATAATCAAATATTAAATATATTCTACAGTGTTTGAGCAAACATATATCTTCCTTTTTCCTCCCTAAATTAAGGAATCCAAATACAAACATCCACTTTGCAAGAGAATATATACTTTTCTGCATAATGTGGATGAGCTACAGCATCATGCGTAAAGTTTATGCAGCTCTTGAGAATTGTGCCTCTTTCTCAGGAAGGATTTGTGGAATTTATTATTCAAACTCTGTTATTTTGGAGCATGGTTATTTGAAAACATGAGCGGTGCACCATCTGGGTGACACATGCCAAGGAAATATAGATTGCACCGCATTTCTGCTTAAGGAATTAATGGAAGGTTGATAGCTAGGGGAAAAAAAAAACTATCTTGCCATTGCTGGTCAGCAATAATCGAACCACTTTCTGGGGATTAAGCGCATGGCTAAGCCTACTGGACCAGACACTAGCAAAGGGCAGGGGGTCTTCTTATCAGAGAAATGCTTCTGGAGCCAGTCTCACTACATGACAGATTGCTTTCATATTCCTGTCTGCAAGGCAACAAAGGATGGCAGTAATGCGATAATGCCAGAGTGCAATGGGTGTTAAGAACCCGTTGCATTTATGTATTGTATTTAGTAAATAATCAGGCTCATCCAAACTGTGATCTCACCACTCAACCAAGGCCATTAAAATCAAGGTTAATGCTTTAATAATCCTTTGCTGTTTTTTATATGGTCAAAAAGAACCCTTTTCTATTTGCATGGTCATAATATTATTGACCTCTTCATCCCCTGAATACACATCAAAAGGAACTGAAATCAAAGTAATTACCAATGTTGTTTTCTCATGGTAAACATTTAACTCCTTGTACTGTCTCCTCCTTCAGTAAATTGAAATGGATTAAAAAAAAACACAGATGGGAAAAAACTTGCAGAAGGTCAATATTTTCAGAATATCCTGTGTTTTACTTGTCAAAACACTCTTCAGAAGTGTAAAGATAAAACATAAATAAAAGTTAACAGGTAGCTGATACTTGAATTAAAACTATATATAATTTAGTCACAACACATTTATTAGGATGGAAAAACACAAATACTTTCACAGATATCAATTAGTGCTGTATTGCAGCATTAACTGTTCATAATGATTTCACGTGTAGTAACAGCCACAAATCTTTTGAAAACCTTTACACATTGCATGAGACATGGCACTTTCAAACATGGACTAATGCCACTGAGAAAAGGCAAATGATAATAGCCGTTTTTACATTTTGCTGGTCTTCAAGACTGTGGTGATTCATGCAATAAGCCTTCCTTTCTTTTTTCAATGTGTAAATAAAATCCAGCATAGTATTGTTTAGAAAGAAAATGATAGAGAAAGTAATTCTTCCATTACTTTTGGATAAACATCAAACTGCGAGGAGGAAAGCATGGTTGACTTGTTCTTATTATTAATTGCGCTCTGGCAGCCCAGTACTGCCTAGTGTTCCCTGTCAATTTTGCCCATCATGAGGCTGGACAGTGAACAATGTGAAGTTCCTGCTGTCCAGGTACCAAAGAAATTCCAATGTAGATATGACAGAAATTTAATTATATCTTTACATATGATTGTACAGAAGCATTTTCCTCATTTTAGAAATGGGACTTTAAACCCAAATACTATGTACATTTCTCAAGGCTACACCGAAAGCCAGAGGCAGAAATGAAGGCTACACTGAAATTTCCTGAATCTTAGCTCCACTTTTTAATCCCATAGTAGTTTTATACCAGTGCAAACCACCTTTTAATTCAATTTCTCTTGGGAAAAAGAAAATCAACAGTAAGGAACTGTTTTTTCTAAAGTGTGTATTATTACAAGTTTGCACATTTGCAACCGAGGGCCATCTTTTGTTTCTTTTGTTACTACTGATAGTGACACTACTGTTGACTGTGTCTGTGATCTTTTAGCTTTTCTAACTTTGATCAAAAAGCAGCTATGAAGAACTCTAATTCAATGCAGAGAGCTGACATAATATTATTGCAGTAGTGAATAATGCTTTCTGCTGGCTCACGCCGGTGCAATTTTAAAGATAATAAAAATTATATTTAGCTGCCTAACTAGCAAGCCTCACACAAAAGAACATTAAATTAAAAAATGCAAATGCCTTTTTTTTGGCTGGCAAAGAAATAATCCATAGTGATTCCCACTGATTTCAAGAGAAAGCAAAGTTAACATTGAACATGGAGGCGTTTCTAGAAGCTCAGCTGTGTCAGCAAAGAACTGAACATAACAACCCTATTAAGGAGTACAGCAGATATTTCTGGTTTCCTAGGGCAGAGAGAGTTTTCTGTGGATTAAGCTTTCCTTCTTTCCCAAGAAAAAAATGCCGTAACCATGAGATCCAAAATGTCCCAAGCAATACCCAGAATGAAAATATATTTTCTAAACATAAATCAAGTAAGGAGCTATGGCCCTCACAATTAAACGATGAAGGCAGTCTTCAGCTCACCACAGCTTCTTCGTTAAAGTTTATTACTGCCCCCCACAAGTACACACCAGCCTTGCTTCTAAAGTACAGCCTTAACAAACACCATAGGCCAGGCACAAGCACACATCATTTTAAAGTAAACTACGTATCAGCTCAGTTCCTGGTGAACAGTGAACTGTCTCAAATCCACGTTATAGAGGTTGGATCAATCTCGCAAACACAAGTCATTGCTGAAAAGAGGCCCTGAACTGAAACAGCCTGGAAAATGTATTAGATATTCATCCTAGCAGAAAGTATTGCTACCAAGCAAGTTAAAACGTAATATGGCAAATCTTAAATTAAACACATCCTTAAAAAGCTTGCCTTGCAGATGCAAACTCCCTTATGTGAGGAAGCAAATTACTGAGGAGTTGTCAAGGGGAAAATATTTGCTAGCACAAGATTGTTTTCTTTAACATTTATCCAGTCTGAAATAAATACAAACTCTCTCTTTTGCTTACTACATCTTTCTACCTTTCTTGGGCAAAGGCTTGTCTCTTCTTCGTTCTTGCAGTGAATTGGATGCAGTCCCTTTCCTACTCTGCCTGTTCAAAGTTAATTGTCTTTGGCTGATTATTTTTCGTACTGCTGTAGCGCCAAGCACTTCCACCTAAGTTCAGCCACTGCTCTGATGTCAAGGAGCTTATGGCCAAAATATGTCTACTTAGCCCAATCCATCCAAGACACAGTGTAATTCAGCTTGAGATGTGATGGTTTCTACTGACATCCAAACCGGCTAGTTTAAAGCCAGCTCAGCTATCTCTAGACTACCTTTCAGCTACTGTTACGACTGTGGTATAGACACACTCACACAGAGAGGGCTGGAAAAATGGAGTATTTTAATCTTCACTAAATAGTGAATTGAGCTACAGAGGCACCAAGTCACTTGCCCAAGGTCACATACATAGTTTGTCAGTGGTGAGAAACTCAGCTTCTTTACCTTGAATCCTAGCTCAGTGGCTTAATTGTAAAACCAACTCTCGCAACAATATGGTTACTGTAACTAGAGGGAAAATTAAGATTTCTGCAAAGAATTACAACAGTCTTGGAGCTCAGACAGATGAATGAATTATCATAACTTCATGAGTTCATGTATATCAGCTGAGCCATAGTAATTGACCATGCGTGCAGTTTTAGCCCACAGCAAACAAGAGGTAAAACACATTAGCTTAAATCTTTTACACTGAGGTTTACCATTACAGATTTTGCTTCATGCTTGTTAGATGCTGAGAATGTGCAAAGGGTCAGTTACTGCTGCTCAACTGACACAAGGTAATCTGTTAAGCAGGGGTAACTCAACTGTGTGTCTGAGCCCTTAACCTAAATACAGTAGAAAATTGAATCCCTCTTGGCACAGTATTTTAACTCATTAACTCAGAATGCCATGTAATTTTTTTTGACTTTTCAATAACTGCCGGTTTTAGAATTTGAGCTGTTCTGATCAGTTATAAAAGGTTTGCAATTTATACTGCTATACAATACCAGCAAGTACCAGTGATTTGTAATGTAAAGAAAGTTACTGCAGTATTTACAGTCACCCTTGACAAGTATACCTTAAAGTCCAAACAAGAGAGTTTTTCTAGTCTTTTGTTTACATCAGGAGAATCCATCTTCTTTGTAAGCTGAATAAAGCAGAGTTGGTTATGGTCCTCAAATGACAAGATGATGAAATTGTCTGTAAGAACAGCTGAAAAACAAATAAAAATTGTCACCACTGTAATACCTGTTTCTAGTAACAAAACAAATTACTGAACCCTCCACTGAGACATTGCAAAAAGCAATTTTTTCAAGACAGTGTCTTAAATATTACACTGAAGCCTCTGTAATCTCCTAAAAGACATCAATGTGTCAACCTGCCAGGACCTTCCTGGAAATGAGAAATAAAGCCTAGGGAGTACTCCGATTACATAAACCTGAATAAATTATCTCATATCAAGTTATCACTACATTCAAATATATGGTTTATGGGCTTCCACATTCATTTTCATCTTGGTTCAGCCTTCGATTTTTTTTTTCTTATGGTAACACCCACCAATATTTTGGAAATGCACCTAATACAGCTTTGCTTGTGTTAAGGATGATAAATGCAAATTAGTACATGAGATGTAACTGGTATTTTGACATTGTAAGGTTCCAGATGCTGCTGCAGGCACCAAGGAGGCCATTACATACAGGATTATGCTTTAGAGGGGTTATTAATTTATTGAAAGCTTCACAAGGGGGTACCCAAACAATACAGTAACCAAGATGGAACAGACTCCCTTGGAGTCTGGAAAAGTGCAGTGGTATCCCCGCTGTTAACATAAGGGGGTGCCAGACCAAAAGAGTTCAATACAAAAGTGAATAACTAATTTGACAATGAAAATTAATTAGACAATAGTATCTAGGGTTTTTCCCAAGTGTTATCCAGTTATTAAAGCAGTGCCCACATCTAAAGAGATGTCTGAGAATGAAGTGAGTCATTGGGATAACTAGTACCAGATCACTGAAGAACTGTTAAAGAGGATCAGATTTAAAGTAAAGCTAGCAAGCTGGTTTTAGAAAGTAAACTCACAAAACTCTGCTAAAAGGAAAATGCCAAGTAAAGTGGAACCAGATTTAAAAATAAACAAAACCCTGCAGAAGAACTCCTGAAAAACAAAAAAATGCATTTGCGACTAATATCCTGGATTCTTGAAAGTATTTTATATATCCTTAGATTGACAATTTAGTCTTACAGATAAGCAGTGAAAACTGGCTACTCAGTTTTGCTTTGATTTAGTCTGATTTACAGCCAGTTTCATTTTCCAGTAGTCATGGGACTGGCACAGCTCATAATTATCTGGTATGCAAATGCTAAAGGGTAAAGTTTAAAGACACATAATTGCCTTTGAAATGTAACATTTAACACTAGCTTTTGAAAAAAAGAAATGTTGATAAAGTCTCTGACACTGTGAGTTAGAAGCTATAGCCGAGTTCCTAAACACGCATGAAAACTCAAAGCCACTGAGTATAGTATCTTCAATATGTACAGTTAAAATATTTTAATACCCTCACAGACATAGTTCACATTAAAGATGACCTACAGCACACCTCAGATGCTTCTGAAATTTGTTTTGGTTGAAGGAAAGAAAGCAAGACACGAAGACCCCTGGGCAGATGTGAACGAGAGTAGCAGTCCCTTGATTTTCGGTATCTGTGGTTGTCTGGGGCAGGAGTGGAGACCAGCTCAACATGAAGGCAGCTATGGGCATGGGTAGACCATTATTCAGAGGGGACCCACATGCTGCAGAGCCAGATTACCCTAAGAAGGCAGACAGTGCAGTTAATAGTCCATATACCAGTACTGCAAGACCTCAGTGCCACAAAATTATTTAGAAAATGAGAAATACTATTTTCTTTTAGGAAAGCAATTTTTCTATAATTTCTAATCAAATTTATTTTAAAATTTTGCCTATAAATAATAAAAATCAGGAGGACTTTATTAGAGGCAGGAGGATTATAAATGCGACCTTAATTCTGTATTTTGTGGACACGATCTGACCTTTATTCCAAGCGTTAAGCGGGCATGCTACTCTGAGTTAGAATTACAAGATTTCATAAGTAATTTTGGCAGATTGTAATCTTATCCATTTCTACATACACATAATTGTTAAAATAAGAACTATTATTTTTATACAGATTCTTGGATTAAATATCAAATTTCTTTTGGCTAACTTCATAATCACAAACCTAATTCCAGCCCAGATTTGGAAAGACATGCAATTATGTTGGATTAAAGTTAATTTATTCTAGGACAACATTATGTTGTGGTTCTCACGTAAGGATAGTTCAGTATAAAAATTTGTATTTTGAACCCTACTTGTGCAGGTAACAAAAGTATCTTCTTTTGTCATTCATGAAAAAACCCCAACCTCATTGCAATGACAGGTATTGTGGGTTTTGCTTTTACTGAACAGAAGCAGTCCTGTTTCACCTTCAGACATGGGTATTACCAAACACAGAGGTTTAAGAAATTCCTGAATAAGTGAAAATAAGGACAACTGTTATATAATGTTATTTATAGCAGTTTGGGTGGTATAACTGTAGGAAAACATATTTGTTGCATTATTATTGTTTTAGTTATAAGGTTTTTAGTATGTTTTTAGTACATTTTCATAGGTTTTCCTCTGCATTAAACTAAACCTTCATTTTTAGCAGTCACTAGTTAATAACTATAGTGAGATTCTGGAAAACTAGAAACTGAATCAGAACAGCTCCATGTAACTTATGTTATCTGGCCTTTTCTAACAGGTAAATATTTTAATAATAACTATCCCATGTAATTAATCAGTTGGCTAATGTTTGGCTTTGTCCCATTTTCCCACTTATGAAATAAACATGACAAGTCAAAATGGCATGTTCACAGTGATTAAAATGTGTAAGGAACTGCATTTTAGAAACCCATTCAGTATTTGACAAGCCTGAAAACTTTGATGTTAAATATTATTCTTAAAGTGTTATTAGTCCTGAGGGTTGTAACTATGGCTTTACATGCAATTACTTGTTGTGTTTGAAGTCCCCAGTGGCAATAATTAGTCTACCTGTTGACATACTGTTTCTCTAGTCTATTGTTAATGTAGGCAATTGATTTGCACGTGGGTGTAATTACCATCACTGATGGTGTCGGAGATGAGCTTCCCCACCAGGGTCCTGTCAATCACCACTTTCTCCAGCTGTGGCCCAGAAAGGCTTAGGGACACCAATACACCTGAGTGAAAGAGGAGCTAAATCCAAATAGTGGGAAAACAAGACATCAAGAATCATTAATAAAGTGAAACGTTCCAAGGTACATATTAGCAGCTGTCCATTACGTAGTAATCTAATTTTCAAAATTACAAAAAAGGTTTATCGTTGATGTGAAGATGTCTTATAATGACTTTGAAAGCTTCTTCAATGAAAGGGATGCGTGTAATATGACACTGGTACAAGAATTACAATTGCTGAACACTTGAAGAGGATGCAGGCTAAATCCCCAAATGTTGCAGAAAATGTACTGAATTAGTTTGTTAAAAACGGAGGTAAAACTTCTATCCCAAATAAGTAAAGGGATGATGCTGACCACTCTATCATCCACGGACCTGATTTCTTCTGTATAAAATAACTGCATAGCCTGCATAAAAAAAGCATACAAAGTTGGGCTTCATGAATTTATATTTTTATAAGTTTATATTATTATCAGAGACTAAAACCAGCACCTTTTTGCTGTCCTTGCTGTTCATATATTGTTTAACTTAAATAATGGTGCCCTACCACAGTGATAGTTGTGGGCTTCTAATAAATCCATATACTCCTTCGCATAAGATTATAGATGTCTCTCTTAAAAAAAAGGAATTTAAATCATTGGACAGACTAGTCAGAGGCTTATTTCAGAGTTAACTGAATATTTCTGCCTAATTAATCTTAATTAAATGATACATATAATCTTGGAAGACTAAGTCACAGTACTTATCAGCTCCTACTGACGCCGTATCTTGTATGAGAGAGAGAATGCTCAGTGGGAGGAGTTATGAAAACCATTTCTTTTTGCGTAATTAAACCCTTAAACTTAGACGTTTTCTGAATGCATCTATTACAGCAAAGAAATTCAGAAAATAAACCCCATAAAATTCCCTGCTCCTTTGTAAGTTGACCTCACTTTGCTAAGTTACTCCAGTAGCAGGAATATATGAAAAGCTTTATTACAGAGATATTGTTTTCTTAATAACATGGTCAAAGATAAAGTCAGGGGTTTATAAAAAAAAATTCTGACCATATTAATTGTTGAACTCCTTGCCAAACTTGGGTTCTACAGAAACCTTGATAAAAAAACAGTAAAAAAATCACTACTGTTGCTTTGATCTTTACATGCAGTACTGAAAACACAAGTGTATTTTAATTCATCTTCTGGTGCTACCCCTGATCCTGCAAGCTGCTAGACTAGATGACCTCAGTGTGTAACTTAAAAGTTTCGCAGGACTCATTCTGGCAGCTAGGTTCATCTCCCTCTAATCAGTAAAAAAAAAAATAATATTTTTTTCAACAAAGGCTATACCAGCTCTAAACTTGCTGAACGATCTTTTCTGCCAAAGGAATCCTCAGTGGAAAGACCATTGTAGAAACGTACAGAGGGCTCACCAACGGCCAGAAAGCTGGGACTCCAGTTCTTACTTTTACCTAACAGCAGATTTTTAAAGAAACCTCTGTGCTTTTTAGTAGAAAACACGGGTACATAAACACCAGGCGAACCTCCTTGCAGTGAGATCTATTGGGTTGTATCATAAATAAAAAGTACTGGTGACAGGAATGTAATGATCTAATTGAGCTTGCCTCTTGTGCAATGCTCTTCTCCCAATAATTTAGCTATGAAAATTCTCAGTTATACATATTTTGCTATATTACTCTAGCTCTGTGCTCTCTGTAGCAAAGAACAGGACAAGCATATTTAAATAATTTACTTTCTTGCCTTGACTTTAACCAACATTTTTGCAATCTATCTTCCTGTCAATTCACAGTAGTTTGAAAAGAAATGCTAGTGACGTTTGAAATAAAAACAAAAAATACCTGTGATGTGAAATGAATTTGTTAAGAACAAATTATCATCTCCCATCCTGACAAAGTCTAATCATGGATTTTTTCATGTTTCGATATTCCCTGTCATGACAGATGTCCTTTAAGGTTTTGTCCTAGTAAAAATGTTAGACACAGTTACACTCATGCAGCTTTTATTACAATCTTTCAAAACTTCAATTTATCCTTATGTTGAAGTTAGATTAGATAAAATCACAATTTATTTCCAACTTGATAATGTTAAGTCCAGCAAGGTTTGACTACGGTTAGCTATAACTGTCCAAAGAACCTAGTGGAAAAAGTGAGGGTTGAAACCCAGAAGCTGACAAACTATGATGCAAGCACCAATCAAGCAAAATTACATAAATACTCTAGAAAGATCGGTTCTAAATTACTGAATGAATATCAGCCTGCTGCTCCCATGCTTCCTTTCCTGGCAGGGAGTGAGAAGAGCATCCTGGAGTTAACCTGGGAGATAACCTAAGTGAATCAGAGGTCTGTTTGTAGCCTCTAGGCTTACCTGACAGAGTAGGGATATATACCACCCATCCAGGTAAAGAGGAGAGGCAAAACACAGGGAAAAAATGTGTTTTGATCTGTAGATGGTCAGTGACCTTGAATGACTGGCATTATTGAATGAGGCCACATGCTTGCCATTCTGCTAGCATCTAACATGTCCATCCAATACGTTGTACAGACAATGTGCTTGCAAACTCTTGGCTTGAGATCAACACATAAGGTTAAGATTCTTTAACTCTTAAATGTTTCAGGGTGTAAATTCACTTTACACCTACGTGTTCATTTCCTGGTCATGACATAAATCACACTTGTAACAGAGCTAGAATAGAAATCTATGAAAACTGCTGCAGTGTATGATGACAAGACTTTTACATAAATAAAAAATATTGTGCTAATGGGTGTGCTTTGCTTTACATCTATGAAACTAGTCATTAAACCAATGCTATGTATTTTCAATATTGCAGAGATATCTCTCTCTCTGCTATCAGTATGGCATGATAGAATGACAGAATGTAGGTAAAAATAATATAATTTCTATGGCTTTTATTTTTTCTGCCACTGTG